GGTATCTTATTATTATGAAAGAAAATAATTATAATAAGTCTTACAACTAATTATTAAAGTCTTATACAATTACGCACCCGTAAACGGAGAAACGACATTTAGATAATTCCCTTTATAATGAGTGAATCGGACGAAGGGTCGATATCGACTGACCACATGTCTCAACTGTAGTTGTTAACAAGTGCTTATCACGATTAACGTGAATATGTCTCTAAAGAGAATATAGTCTCTTTACATCTTCCCTATACCGAAAGATTTTTTTTTTTTTCTTAAGTTAAAGTTTAAGTACTAACAATAATTTTCAACAATCAAACATGGTACACGTTTTGAAATATTAAAGAGGTTTGATTCAGGTTTTTTAGATCCTGTTTCTATTTGATACATTGAACATAATATTTTTGTTTAAAATTCTAAAAGGACCTACTCTTAATTCTTCTCATTTTCTTCTATTTAATTAAATTTATGATAAACTTTATTTTTATCGAATTGACAATCATTCTGTTCATAATCATTTCATGAAAGAACCACCTTTAAGCGATTGTTCTGTCTTCTGCAAGTTCTCTCTTAGTTTTTATTTCATTAAATTCAGTATGTAGAATTGTTATGTTGTTTCCTTCCAATAGATATACTGGTGCGAAACCAGTGATTGTGTGTTCTGTTTCATTGTACCTTTGTATGCACTCGTGCGCTATAGTCGTCCGTGCACGTTTTTGTTTGGTTTCTTTTATTTTGCATCGAATGTTTTTTAGTAAAGTTTGATAAGGACGTTCGTTTAGTTCATTAGAAAATGGAGAATTTACCGCTGTAAAAATTATTTGTATATTTTTACTATGCAAAAAATACCAGGGTATTGATCGGATAATATTACTTCAATTTTATTATTTTTGGAAATCTGTCTAATTAATTTTATAAAATCATTTGAGCTTTTTATTTTTGAAGTTACAAATGCATATCTTGTAAAGTGGCCTACTAATAAGTGTAAATATTTTTTTGTGAAACGAGAACCTCCAAATCCCCTGATGGTATCTATCGACATGATTTCATACGGTTTAGTTGCCGGTCCCAATAGGACAGAAGGCCGATTTTTTTGTCCTCTTGATTTATTTTTTATGCACACTGCGCATTTTTTACAGATTTCGTTTATATTTCTTGTTAGGTTTTTACTTGAAAAAGTGGAGAAAGTTTGCAAATCATTTGTTTTGTGCTAATGTGGCAATAGTATTCATGTATTCTTTTAATAATTTGTAGATTAAAAGCCTCTGATATTATAATTTTATCTTGTTTCTTTGCCTTTTTGCAATAAGCATTATTTTTTAACATTAATTTTTTTTTTATTTTGTGTGTGTGTCTACATTTTGGTTTTGGTCTAATTCAACATCTTCCCATTTTATTATATTAACAGTTTTTAGTTGTGCAAAATTATTTTTGTGTTGTTGTAGCACTGGGTTTCTACTTACGCAATCCATTTCTAGATTTTTCCTTCCTGGTGAATATTTTATATTGTAATCGTATTGAGATAAGAAGTACGTTAAGTCCCTCAGTTTCTCATCTTTTCTAGCTTGTATATTCATACCTTCTAATGGTTTATGGTCTGAATAAACAGTAAAATTTCTACCAATCAGCCAGTGCTGCCAATATTTTATTGCCTCCTTAATTGCCAAGCATTTTTAATAAAATGCTTTTTTTTCTTTTTTGACAGTCATTAAGCTTTTTTAAAAAATACGCTACCAGTTTCTCTTCTCCATTGATTTGTGTTTGTTTTAGTCTAGCTTCTATGCCTAGTAAACTTGCGTCTGTATAATACATATAGGTAGGTTTTGATCAAATATTTCTAGTATAGGCTGTGAGCATAGTAGTTCTTTCATCTTTGTGAACGATTTATGACAACTTTCTGTCCAAATAAATTTTTGTCCTTTTTTTAATAATTTATGTAATGGATCGAGCAATACGACTGCATTCGGTATATATTTATTATAAAAATTTACTGTTCTCAAAAATTGCCTTACGTTTTTTTGTGTTTTTGGAATCGGAAAATTTTTTATTGCTGTTAAATTATCTTTTAGCGGACTAATAGAATTATTCGCAATTTTTTGACCTAAATATGTGACCGAGTTTGATGCAAATGTACATTTGAAAATTTTAATCGAAAGCCTTTTATTTACTGCTTCTAATAACGTTATTAAATGATTCATGAGTTCTTCAAATGTATTTGAAAATATTATATCATGTATATAATTTGCTACGAATCAATTTCAATTACATTTTCTTATTATATTACTTAGTATTCTTTGAAAAATTACAGGTGAAGTTTTTAGCCTGAAAGATAAACAGGTCCACTGAAAGTATCCTTCCTGTGTTACAAATGTTGTTTTGTATTTATTTTTGATTCTTGAAAGGATTGACCCAAAAGCAGAATTTGTATCGAAAGTAAAAAAAAATTTACGATTTCTCGTTTTTATCATTATATTTTCGATTAATGGGAATGGTTGTGATTGCGGTATCACTATTTTGTTGAGTTCTCGAAAGTCTATGCATAGTCTTGATTTTTTTTCGTCATCTTTCTTGTGTGCTAAAGTAACAGGGGTCAATAGATCATATTAAGTTTCAGATCACGAAACAATGACCTAAGATATGATAATTTATTACTTACTTGTATAATTATGCTTCCATTATTATTTTAAAACTGGAATAATTCGTCTAAAATCGCCTGCTAAAACAATTAATTTATATCCAAGGTAGATATTTGCATCACATTAGTCATGCAATATTCTTTTAACTATTTCCAAGGCTTTTTTTAGGATTATAGAAGCCTTGTCCCATATAATTAAATCAACTTCTTTTAATTTTTTTTAGATTAAAATTTTAAGAACGAACTTTCTACATTGTTTAAGTCTAATGATAAACGAAATATTCTATGATTTGTCATTCCTTTTGGAAGTCATACTGTTGCTATACCAGTCCATGTCATGGATAAAAATTTTTGTCCACGAGAAATGTAATAAGAAATTTAAATTTCATATAGAAATATTTTTTCTGAACTTCCTTTGCCATCAGTAAAAGAAATTTTGTCTGTTTGTTCACATATAATTTAGAAAATTGTGATTTACGATTAGAGAGATTCATCATGGCCAGAGAGTATAACCACCACTTTTTTATTTTTATTACTTCTTTAAGCATTCTTATTAGTACTTAATATTAGACCTAATAAGAATCCCATATTAGGATGTTCAAATGAAGTAAAAATAAGCTATCAGACCTTTCTTTACAGAAGCACTATATTATCAATGAAATGATTAAAAAGGTTTTTTAAATTGCATCTCCGTGGATATTTTCTGCAATTAGAAATGAGGCAAAAATACGTCTTAAACATTTAGAAAAAAGTATTTATAAAATTTACACAATTTCTGTTTTGACTCTTTAACTACTTTACAAAGATTATTTTATTTTTTTAACTTTAAAAAGCCAGTTTGAAAAAATAGTGTTTAACTGATTCAATGATTAGGGTGGAGTTCCACTAGTATATATGCTCTAAAAAGGTGACTTATGCAGACTCTACGTGCTTCAAAGACATATGTTAATAAAACGGTAGAATTATGCGGACGTCCACTTAATGACTCCCTTATGCACATGATTGTCTGCATAAGTCACCTTTTTTTAACACACACACACACACACATACACACACAAGCGCATATGTATATATATTTATAAATATATATATATATATATATACACGTTTGTGTGTATATAACTAATATAGTTAAATAAAAGACTTAATTGGTAGATAATTGTGGGGGCTTAAAAAATTGCGCGGCGTGTGGTGGAGGAGTATCGGTGGTCAGTGGGGGGATATTGTGGGCTACAGACTTATGTAAACACAGTAAAAAATGAGCGTAATTTACGTCATTTTTTAAGAGAGCCATGTAAGCTTGTGGTGAAGGATTATTTACCTGCCATACAAAAATAACTAAAAAATTTGGGTATATATTCATATCGTATAATTATTATGTTTTTAGTTATTTCAGTTACAGCAACATTTTGCGAGCTAAGGTATTGATCGGATAATATTACTTCAATTTTATTATTTTTGGAAATCTGTCTAATTAATTTTATAAAATCATTTGAGCTTTTTATTTTTGAAGTTACAAANATAGTTGATATAGAAATGGTTTGACAATTTTACATGTTATGACTAAAAACTTTAGTACAAAGAAGTGGGAACAAGCGGTAGTTAATCGTAAACTTGGCCCTGTAACTTACTCTTTACAGACAGAATCCAACAAAGAAGTTGAGCGACATTTGGATCAAATTCGTCCGGGTCTAAAAGATAGTCCCTATATCTATGTAGATGACTTTAGCGATCAGCTGTTGAATGATACTGCTAAAGCACTCGATGTCAATCCCGTACCAGAACCTAAGACTGTCGCGAGCGAAACGTCGTTGCCTGTGCTTTCTAAAAAAGACCCTGCGGCGAGCTCAAATAGGCCGTTGGTCTTACGTCGCTCATCGCGCATCAAAAAGGCACCGGAAAGACTTGATTTGTAACGGCGTACATTCAGACTGTTATGGGAAGAAGGATTGTAATATATACGACTGCGTAGTGTATATCATTTATATCGTAGTGTATACATCATTAAGTAGATGGCGTTGCGTGCGTCNCTTTATCTCATAAAATTCCAAAAATATGATAAAAGTATAGTATTTTACTATACTATACTGTTTAACCTTGTGGTAAAACCAGTAGTCATAAATATCTCTTACATTTCATAGGTCCATCTTCAAATCAACTTTTGTAAGATAAAGTTTTTATATTTAACATAACCAAGTTTTTTTAGATTTTTGAAATTTATTGTAATTACAAGTTTTGACCTTATGAACAGATTATTTTGTAGCTTTGCAGTTCATAAAATACTAATAAGCTGTATTAATATTATTTTTAATAACCGTTGCTGTAAAAATTAAACCATACTTAAAAAATTTTGTAAGTAAAATGTTTATGTTTTATTACAGTTGTAGGTGCAACTACAAAACATATTTAAATTTAAGTGGCGTTCAAAGCTCAACAATCACAATAGTAAAAAAATATTGTTATTTAAAATAAATCAAATGAAATTTAACAATTGTTGAACATGTATCATACTAATCTTACACAAATTTTCTTAATAATACGATTTTAAATTTACGCATTGTGGACTTACTAATCAAAAACATTTCACACTGTTATTTTACAATTTTTTCCTACAATAAATTTACGTATGTTGATTTCTTATAAATATGTAGTATTTGATAAACATATAAGTAACAGAATATTACAACTGCTTTGATCCCTTTAATTTTTTTGTCGAAGATGAAACATTCGAAGGTAATGTCGATTCTGGTACTAATTCTGATCGTCTTGAATGCGATAAATCTGTTGAATTCTTATTTTCCGTAAGAACTGGTTTACCAGGCTTTGTATTGACATTATTGGTAAGTTTTATATCATTTGGAGTTACTTGAGACAATACTTTTTTTTTATTTCCATTTAATACATCCGCAGTTGATCCAACTATTTTATTTGACTGAAAATGTGCTGCACTTGAACTTTCCTTTTCTAGAGCCTTATGAATTTGTTCCTCTACTTCTAATACTTCTTCTTTTTCCAAAAGCTTAATAAATTCGTTAAGCTGAGTTTTGCTTAGTTTGATGTCTTCCTTACTTATAAGTCCAACAACCTAAAATATAAATTAAAGTTTACATTAGACCTTTATTAAACGATATTACTTATGATGATTTTAGTACAACTGAAAAAAAAATTAATATTGCTATCAAAATAATTCACAAACTTGGGGTAAAATTAGTAAAATTTGAGTCGTACTTCATTAGATTATATTACAACACGAATAACTTTGGACTAAAGCTAAGATAAATTTTTCAACATAAAAATGCATGTGCATGCACTCTGATGTACTTAAAATTAAATAACTTAAAGCCAATTTCAAAAATGTTTAATTTTGTATGATTCAAAAAATAACGAGTTAATAATTATTTAGTGCCATCTCCGTAAAAAATGTTTGTTAGGTAAACTTTTATTCATTAAACAATGGGATGGCTCAGTAGCTGCACATTTCCATTCAAGAAGTAGACACTGCGTGACACCGTCCGTTTAAAAACATTTATTTTTGACTTCTATCTTTTCTAATTTCGAAATAAAATATTAAAAAACCCGTTATGATTCGTAGGTCTAACGTATAAATGACGCTAAGCTTCAGTTTTTACAAAATATTTTTACGGGAAAGCCTATTGAAATAGTTTTACAGGATACGTAATGTTAATAAAAATTTTCATTTAGATTTAAGAGTCATACTTTCTTTTCGGTTTTAATTGTCCGGACTTTTAAAAGGGCCAAACGATGTATCGAGTAAGAAAGACACGTGTAATATAGAGTTGATTGCGAATTAAGATAACGAGATGTGTTGGCTAAGCTCATCTCTAAATGGTTAATTGCTTTCTTACGCTTTTTTATCTAGTTCCCGAAAAAATACAAGATTTCCTTAACTGACGGGATAACTTGTTTATCAGCATTAAGTTGAAGCATCTACATAAAAATAATAAGAAATTTAAAGCCAGTTTTAATGTTGTAAAATAATGCATTCCTCACTGTTTAAAAAAAAAAATAGTGAGATCCACGATAAATTTTTACCGACTGTATTTATCGTCAAATCAGAAATCCGAAAGTTTCTATGAGTTTTTAACATCGGTTGATAAATGACTATTTTAACCAGTATTTTTATTACTGTTGAATTGTACTGGAGACATTAATGTCGTCGAATAAAATTTTTAAAAAACTAAGTACTAGTGGAAAAATATACAGAAACAATTTTCTAAATGGGACATACATTTTACATGAGTTTTCCAATTCTAAATTTGTAAAACTCCAACATTTTTTACAGAAAGTTGTATTAAAGGGTATGATGTGATGTTATTCACTGACTTTTATAGGCTAATAAATAAATTAGAGATTAATTTAAAAAGGATACGCAAACCTAGTTTTAAATTTATTCAGTTACATGTAAAATCTTTGTGTAATAAGACTGAAAAATTGAGTTACAAAGTAGACATGCATTTTGATTTCAGTTGGATCCTCTTATCCACAATTCGCTTTGTTTCTCTTAATCTTATAAATAAAACGTGGCAACCGTGCTGATATTTACAGCAACGATGTACTTTATTAAGAATAAATATGAACATTATTTAGCCATATAATAATTATCATTGTTTGACTTAGTCTATCAGTAAAAAAACTTTACGCTTATCAACCATCACTAATGTACAAGTATTTATTCAGAAAGAAAGAAAACAAAAACAAAAGTCTTATCACAAAGCCAATTTTTCGACTCTAGCACTCTAAGCTTTATATGATGCAAACTATTGTAGTGTTTTTTTTCATCAATGTTTGAATATGCAGTGCTGATTGCTAGGAGCTGTTAGTATTTTGGTCACACACCTCCAAATCAGAGGCTGCGGTACAAAAAACGTCATGGCTGAGGCGCTTCGATCACTTTCAAGCTGAAAACTCAAAAAGTCTCACGGATTTTCTATAGGATAGATCTTGTGTCATGTGGATAAGTTCACTTAGCACATTGTAATTCTTATGTTAATATAATTAACATTTTTTTCAAATACTATATTTATATTTATATTTTAATAGGCTTAGCATCGTAAGGAGTAAAAATGTAAGTCTATTTATGAAACTTGTGAGGGTATAAGTATATTTCAATTTTTTTTATACAAGTCAAGTAATGAGCAAAACCTCTTCGAAACTTAGAGGGTGGTTCTCTAGATAAATAGTCGTTGCCTTTGGCTGCTCTTTTAGACAATATGTCCTGTTAATGATTCTAACGTGGTGACAAATTATCGTGCTAGTGAAAGTGTTATTAAAGATCATAAATATAAATATTAGGAATACACCTGTAATTTTTGTGAGCGGAAGTCTTTGATAAATAGAAGTAGTTAAGCAACTTATGTAAAGTTTTGAATTGTTTGGAGTGCTGTTTATAACTCTATTAAAATAATGATTTTACAGACGATCACATTAAAGTAACATAACTTCTTAAGTATGTAAGGTATGTGGATGAAATATTATTTTTTATTCAATGACATTTTTGACACATTATAATCTTAACACGTTAACATTAAATAAATGAACTTGGCTTTATCATTACCAAGTATATGTGGGTGATTTTGCTGTAACTGTTTCAGATAATGTACCCGGTTCAAATGCGCATAATAAAAAGAAATGCATTAATCTAAAAGTAAATATCTATGTAAAAAAGCGTTTTTTTTTTTCATTACTCATGAAAAGAAGCCTTAAAAGTTATTTTAGTGATCAAATTCCCTAAGAAAGTGTACCATCAGTACTGCAGGCGAATTCCTTTATTAAAAATCCAAGAAGTGTACATACACTTTGCCTTCAAAATAAGGTCAATAAGTAGTGTATCGCACGTGAGGTATTGACAAAAAGCCTGAGTAGTTATACCGTATTTTATAACTGTGAATTTATGAACTATACTCTATAAGTACGAAATTGGTAGTACTGTTATCAATCATTATTATAAACTCCATTACCAAGAATTCCCATTTTCAACGCAGATATAAGTTACCGTCCTTTCCATTCCCCTTTATTCGCAACTTGAATATATTTTGAAGGTACAAAATGTAAATTTTCTTGAAGCATATGTTGGTGCAGAAGGTCATATGGGCAGAAAAAAAATTTACATTATGTCTGCAAGCCGTACAAGCTTTGCGCAGATACAACGTAAATGTGGCATGTTGACTGTTAACATGCTGTTGTGTGCACATAAAATTTAAAAAGTTGTAAAAAACATATAAACTGGTTTTCTATTAACATACTTGTACGTTAATAGTAAACAAACCATTCTCTCAGTGTACCAGATCTCTTCTTAATGTTGTTGTTGTTGTAGCAGCAGTAGCAGTAGCAGTAGCAGTTTTTTTTTTTTTTTTTTTTTGTGGAGAGAGGGGAAATGCATTTAGGCACACCACAGGGACAGTGGTAGCGTAGGACTCGGTAGATTTTTTTTTAAGACCGCCCATACCCACTAAAAACCCCCCACGCCACGTGGCTTTTGTTCTACCCCAAAACCGCGTAAGCATTACTTCAGGGTGGAGCCACCAGGAAGACCATCGCGTCTCATAGCATTAACGATCTAACTCGCCACCATTTGATGAAGGTGCCAATTCTCTCGAGTCCTGAAAAGGACCCGGGGTCTCTGAAGACCAGCACCCTCTCTAGCGCTCCATAGTAAGCCGCTGATGACGCAAGCACCACTATAAGATTGATGCTTTCCCTTGCAGATAGGTAAAAGTACTAAGTGCAGCGTGGGTCCACATTAGCCTGCCTCCCAACTCAAAGCCCCTTTGCCTTATTTTCATCTTGATTGGGCCTTTCTCCTGGCCTCTTCTAGCGCTCATCTAAATGCAGGGCACCTCCTACTGCCTGCTTCGTGCTTGTTGTCCGTTGTTGGGCAAAGAAAGCACCGTGCTGGGCCTTGACACTTTTTTTTCCGGTGGTTTGAGCTTCCACACCGGAAACGAAGCTTGGATATAATTTCTTCTTTACAGTTGCCTGAGACGTGTCTATATCCCAGGCATTTGTAACATCTTGTTAAACGCGTCGTATTGTTCGTGACTGCGTTCGTTGCAGGCGTTTTCGGCCACAGCGCGCTAATTATAAAATGGCAGACTTACCTTCCGCTCGAGTATCAGTTGCTCCTCCATTCTATTGTACGGGAACAGATAATTTCGGCTCACTTTTCGCAAAAGAGAAAAAAGAGCGCAACCGAAATAAAATAAAAGTATATGGCTGTATATTCGTGTGTATGTCATCCAAGGTGGTTCACATTGAAATTACCACTACTTCTGATCTGCAGGCACTCATATCTTAATCCAAACCGTACGATATTAACAAATTAGGTTAACAAAATTACTAGCTTTGATATAATCTGAGACAGAGGCCTTTTCTAATTCTTTTAAGTAAATACAAACAACAATTAGCAATAAGTAATAGGTCATTAATAACTCTCTTTAAACACGATGGTCTAGCACCAATACGCTTAGTAACTAGCGACAAGAGAGAGGATAGTTTTTATAAAAGGCTATTGCCGATCCAGAACTATTTACATGCTTCCAGGTACGTGCACGTGTCTAACTTATTAATAAATTATTGCAATAAGAATCTGAATTAGAGAAGAAGAGATATGCTTTGATTATATGCTCTCTTGCAATAAAATCTCTCTCTTTGTCGTACGTCTTTGCAGCGCCACACAAGACTAACTGTCGCAAATTTGTTTTGCATGGCAACGCGAGAGGGAGAGGAGGGAGGGCGTTTTTACGCGATCAACCCTCTCTCTCTCTCTTTTTTACCTGTCACCTTTTTAGCGGTAAAGAACCGTACAAGTAGCCCTACTCAGGTGGCCTCGTACCTGCAAGTTAGGGGTGGCCTAGTACTCGGACAGGGGGGGGGGTTAGCCTCGGATCCATACGGGTATACGAAGCATAGTGGGAGTAAGGAGTAGCGATAAAAGAGAAAAGAAGTAAGTAGTAAACGAAGAGCAGTGAAAGTGAGCAGAAGGGTGGGACGGGGACTAAATAAGATACGATACAGTAACCATGAGAGCTACGGGCACAGTCAGTGCTCATATTTTCACGGCACGAG